GCACTGCAGGCGCTCTGTCCCTCTCGCACCTACACTGGAACGCCCCACGCGTGCGAGAGAGACAGCGACGAAAACGACGCTCGCGGAATCAGTCTGGTGCACTCGCGACGGCATTCATTAATCAAAACGATCCCATGCCGAGTCGCATGCCGAGCGATGATGGAAAGTTAAACGGACGGGCGATACACGCGCGCGCCTCGCGACGCTGGGGCCGCACAAGTAGTGCACTTTTTGCCTGCTTATATGTCGCAAGAGTGCACCGGTAAGTACGTCCCCCGTCACTACACGTGTTTTTATTTATTATTTTTGCACAACGCCGCTCGCGCGCGCGTTCGCCACTAGAAGTGGAGTAAACTTGGAAAGTCGCGGGGCCGGAGGGAGCAGCGCCATCACCATCAATCAAGCGCTCCAATAAGGCAACGCTGGGAGGTCCCGGAGTTCGCGACCCACTCGCCGCCAGACACGCCCACGGCAACCTGCAACCTGCACTGCAACCTGCGCTGCAACCTGCGCTGCAACCTGCACTGCAACCTGCGCTGCAAACCTGCACTGCAACCTGCACTGCAACCTGCACTGCAACCTGCGCTGCAACCAGCGCTGCAACCTGCACTGCAACCTGCACTGCAACCTGCACTGCAACCTGCGCTGCAACCTGCGCTGCAACCTGCGCCGCAACCTGCGCTGCAACCTGCACTGCAACCTGCACTGCAACCTGCACTGCAAACCTGCGCTGCAACCTGCACTGCAACCTGCGCTGCACTTTCCCAGCGTCCAGGGCCCGCTGATATACCAGCAGGCCATCCCGAAGCTGCGCTGGAAGAGTGTGTGTTTGAGTATGTGTATATGTGTCTGTGTCTGTAAACGTGTGTGTGTGCGCGCGCACACATGCAATTGCTGGCAAAGAGATGACCGTCCGAGATGCGGCTCGCGTTCTATTCTTGCCCGCGTCCAACGAGAGCGCGTAATGCTTCGGATCGGTCGTAGATTTAGCAACAAAACTTCCTTGTTGTTGTTTGTAATTTCTTCTTGGCCTCTCCCTCCCACACACGGCGCTGTTGGCTGGCTAGCTGACTGGCACACTGGCAAACTGACTGACTGACTCGCGCGGAATGCGGCGGCGGCGCCACCGGTCGCCGATTTTGTCGGCATAACCGGCGGCGATGCGACGGGATTGAAAAAGAGCAGGGTTCGAAAAAAAACGATAGAGAGAGACGAAATGAGGACGAAAAGAAGGAAACGGAGGCGGACTTATTGACTGGCCGATGCGGAAGGCGGCACGGCGGCGCAAGGCGGGCCGGCTTGACCGCGCGTCCATCAACAAGGGCCGCGCTGGGCCGGGCTGGGCAGGGCCGGTGTGGCAATAGAGGCGTTTGCCCTGCAACGCGCGGGCAGACGGACAGACAGACAGACAGACAGACAGACAGACAGACAGACAGACGCACACGGGCCCAACGCACGCTATTGTGCGCGAGCTGCGCGAGCATGCAGGGCGGGCATCGTCATTGCTGCATTCCCATCAAATTGACGTGAGGCGTCCTTCGGAGATGTATCATAAATAGATCGGCACACGGCGACATCCACGCGGCCGGGTTTGCGTGTGCGTGCGTGCGTGTGTGTGTGTGCGTGCGCGCGCGCGCGCGCGCGTGTGTGTGTGTGTGTGTGTGTGTGTGTGTGTGTGTGTGTGTGTGTGTGTGTGTGTGGACAAGTATGTGAGTGGCGAAGAGCAATCGTGCGACAAACGCCTCCGCTTCGCAAAGAAATTACGGAGAAAATTACATCGCGCTCGATTCATTAAAGATGCAGAAGGAGCGCATAGTCGGGTGCGCAGATAATCTTACTGCACGTTACTGAGCCATCAGCAATGCCCGAGCCGCAGCTCACACTGTCGCTTTCAAAAGAGAGACAAACGTTCGCGTCACAACTCAATCGACGCCTCAGAGAAAAAATTAATTAAGGGGGGACATCACTCCAAAATGATAAAAAAATGCAACTTTTTTTTATTAGTTTATATTATAGACTATTCCATTCTGCGTCTAATGGTGAAAACCGCATTTCGAAATTCAAAAAATTGCATTTTTGGGAGGCTGTGGGCCGCAAACATGCATAGGGGAAAAGCCCAGTTTCCCCAACTTTGATCGCGTTTTTCTCGGAACATGAAATTGCAAACGGTTGCAGGCCTCTAGGGCGCAGTTTTTGAGCTACAGCGGGGAGATTTAGCATGGAAGCTCCTACGACATGCCGCTATGGTGGGTAGCAAAATAATTTGCATTGGTCAATTTTTATTATTTTTTTAACGTTCAAAATTGAACAATTTTGACCCAAAAAATTGAACAATTTTTTTTGGCATGAAACAAATACAACTTAAAATGATTTTTGAAATGTGATTAAGGTACCCACCACAGCCAGACATCTCAGGAAGGCTGTCACCAAATTTCAATGTTCTAGGTCAAACCGTTTGGCGTCCAGCGCTGCAATAGTCTAACCTAACACTCAAAAATGCGTTTTCAACGAAAGCGCTGTACTGCCCTGGCGGATTGACTTAGTGTTGTTTTATACTTTATCTGTTAAAATATGAACAATTTTTCTCTTTCCGTTTGGTTTTTATGACGATTTTACAAAAGCACTGTTTTTGGAGTGATGTCCCCCCTTAAATCACCTTCGTTCGATAAGTAATCACAGTATCGTGTGTGCACAAGCCTCATCTTCCACCGATTATGAATGAAAAATTCAGGCAGCCCTTCGGCAGGTCGGGCTGCACAACGGCTTCGCCGCCTTCCGTCTCTCTCGCACTCCCACGGCACGCCCCACGAGTGCGAGAGAGACGGAGCGCCTCTCGCTTCCCGCAGGTCGAAGGGCCGCATCGATCACTCGATCGCGACTTCCTTTCCTTCCGCGGCTCCGCGGCGGCATGTAGGCCGGGCCGTGCCGGACGGACGCGGGCCGTTTGTGCGGTGGCGGTCCGGCCCCGTCGCTCTGTCTCTCTCGCACCCGCACGGGGCGCCACATGGGTGCGAGAGAGACAGAGCGAGGCCCAGCGGGGAGCCGCGGCCGCGCCGCCAACGGCAGCGCAGTGCGTGTGGTCCAGCATTCGGGCCATTCGGCCGTTCGGCGCACCGATTAACCAAAACCGACTATAGAAAATCGCATCCCTTCCCACGAGAACAAACAACGTTAAAAAAAACCAACTGCATTATGTAAAATTTAATGCAAATCAGTCTCCCCGCGAGGGAAATGCGTCCAGAAGAAGCATACTTGCCATGACCCGCCATGCACCTTGCGCCACGCCAGAACTAGATCACTCACCTGCGGACAGACAGAAAACAAACGGCATCAGAGACTCGGACACAATAATAAGCGATAAAACAGAGCACACGCTGCTGACACCGCCTGCTAAGGCGTATAAAAGTGTGTTGGTGGATTTGAAATACAGGCAGGGAGGCCCTCCCTGCAACGAAAGCGATTATAGTCAATACCTGTAGTAACATCGTGTAGGTGCAATGAGAGAAACACTTTGAAACGAGGGGCGTGGCGAACACACACACACACACACACACACACACACACGTGTGGGTGAAGGGCCGTGCAGGGCGGGGCGAGGGAGAAACAATGGCTTTTCGTTAGGACCGAACGGGTTGAGCCGCCTCAAGACATCGCTCACTCACACACAGACACGCAGACACACTGCACGGTGGGAGGCGGCCCAACGGCACCGGAGCACGCACGCCAGCAGACGACGGGCACCCGGTGCAGCAGTGCAGTGGAGGAGTGCAGTGCAGGGCGCCGCGAGCACAGAGGATACCGGCACCACACATCCAACGGAGAGGGACTTAGATAACAGGTGCAGAGTGCACGGGGCGTCACGAAGGCCTCCAGGCTGGCCGGGCGGCTGGAGCGCGAGCTGGAGCGAGCCGCACGCTGAGTCCGAGAGTCCTTTTCGTCGCTCCGTCTCTCTCGCACCCACGGGGCGTCCAGAACAGGCGCGAGAGAGACGGAGCGACGCAAAGGACTCTGCTGGGGCGAGAGGGACAAACATCCGCGAGTTAATGGCGCCCGCTGCGGGCCACGCGCCGCCGATTAAAATCAACCAGGTTCGGCACACAAACCCTTCTCCCATGACGACATGCCACCCCAAGGGCCGGCAAGCCCGTCTCCCTCTCTCTCTCCCTCTCTCTCTCTCTCTCTCTCGCACACACGCGGAGCGACCCACGCGTGCGAGAGAGACGGGCAGAGAATGAAAGGACCGGACACTGCGTGACGGCGTGACCCGCCGCCTTGTCGTCGTGAGCACGCCCCGAGTCTATCTCATAAACGCGCGGCATAGCTCTCCAAAACGCAGTGCAGCCCAGGAAGCAGCGGTCTTTTCGAAATCAAATCAATTTCCCGAAAGGCCTGCAAAGCGAAGCGGCCTTATTTATTTACCGAACAAATCGCATCCAATCACGACACGGCGCCATTGTTTCTCGTGTGTAAGTGTGTGTGTAGGTGTGTGTGTGTGTGTGTGTGTGTGTGTGTGTGTAGGTGTGTGTGTGTGTGTGGTGTGTGTGTGTGTGTGTGTGTGAAGCCCCCCTCCCGAAAAAAGGAATAAAGGCTGTCGTGGGATCGATTACCGGCCGCGGCGGCCCAGGGGCGGCCCAGGGGCATCGCACGACGAGCGAAAGGAAAAGCAAAAGGGCACTTTCTTTCCTTCCTTTCCAGAAAACTTGGGGCGCGGCCCACCACACTGCAAAGGCCTTCCGCGTGCTGCCGCCACCGCACCAGAAAACACCTTTCATCTCGAGGTGTTTGCGTTTTGGCTGTGTCGTGTGTGACGCACGGTGGTGTGACGGGAGGGTTGTCACATGTTTGACGCTCGCTGTTTTGCAACACGGGCGCGGCACGGCCGCCCCCCTTCGGTGTCTGAGAGTATCAGAGTATCAGAGTATGAGAGTATGAGAGTATGAGAGTATGAGAGTATGAGAGTATGAGAGTATGAGAGTATGAGAGTATGAGAGTATGAGAGTATGAGAGTCAGAGAGTCAGAGAGTCAGAGAGTCAGAGAGTCAGAGAGTCAGAGAGTCAGAGAGTCAGAGAGTCAGAGAGTCAGAGAGTCAGAGAGTCAGAGAGTCAGAGAGTCAGAGAGTCAGAGAGTCAGAGAGTCAGAGAGTCAGAGAGTCAGAGAGTCAGAGAGTCAGAGAGTCAGAGAGTCAGAGAGTCAGAGAGTCAGAGAGTCTGAGAGTCTGAGAGTCTGAGAGTCTGAGAGTCTGAGAGTCTGAGAGTCTGAGAGTCTGAGAGTCTGAGAGTCTGAGAGTCTGAGAGTCTGAGAGTCAGAGAGTCAGAGAGTCAGAGAGTCAGAGAGTCAGAGAGTCAGAGAGTCAGAGAGTCTGAGAGTCTGAGAGTCTGAGAGTCTGAGAGTCTGAGAGTCTGGGGCAGTCTGAGAGTCTGAGAGTCAGAGAGTCAGAGAGTCAGAGAGTCAGAGAGTCAGAGAGTCAGAGAGTCAGAGAGTCAGAGAGTCAGAGAGTCAGAGAGTCAGAGCGTCAGAGAGTCTGAGAGTCAGAGAGTCAGAGAGTCAGAGAGTCAGAGAGTCTGAGAGTCTGAGAGTCTGAGAGTCTGAGAGTCAGAGAGTCAGAGAGTCAGAGAGTCAGAGAGTCAGAGAGTCAGAGAGTCAGAGAGTCTGAGAGTCTGAGAGTCTGAGAGTCTGAGAGTCTGAGAGTCTGAGAGTCTGAGAGTCTGAGAGTCTGAGAGTCTGAGAGTCTGAGAGTCTGAGAGTCTGAGAGTCTGAGAGTCAGAGAGTCAGAGAGTCAGAGAGTCAGAGAGTCAGAGAGTCAGAGAGTCTGAGAGTCTGAGAGTCTGAGAGTCTGAGAGTCTGAGAGTCTGAGAGTCTGAGAGTCTGAGAGTCTGAGAGTCTGAGAGTCAGAGAGTCAGAGAGTCAGAGAGTCTGAGAGTCTGAGAGTCTGAGAGTCAGAGAGTCTGAGAGTCTGAGACAAGGCGGGCAGGGCGGGCAGGGCGAGCGGCGCACGGCATGCAGGTCCTTTCCTCCGGTCCTCTCCGCCAAAGGTCGCGAGCGCCGCCCGCTCTGGTTCGAGGACCCTCTGGCTGCCTCTGGCCGACAAGCACTTTTTCGGCGTGCATAACTTTTACTTTCACCGCGCAAGCCTCGCAATGAGAGTGCCCCGGCATGAGCATGACCCGGCCGCCGTTATTCAAATCCAGAGCCAAATAACAAATGCGGCGGCCGGGATTCGAACCCGCCGCTCTCGTATCGGCCGCACCCCTCGCAAAAACAAACAACGCGCCGCCGCCAAAAAAAAAAAAAAACAGAGGAGAATCACCCAACCCGCCACACTGTTGGAGTTTGTCGGTCCGTACAGCAGCGCGATTAAACGCCTCGCTTTCTTCGCAGTGACGCTGCTGCCAACACAATTTTCGCACAGCCGTCTCATTACGGGGTACCAACCTTCCGAGCGTAAATCAAAACACCGCCCGGGGCGGCGGCGGCACACTGGAACACCAAAGGCCAGGCCCCGTGCCGCGCACGCCCCGCCACCCCGCCTCGCACGAGCCCCATATCAATTTACACTTTTCACCGGCCGGTAAAGAGACGATTATTTCCAATTCACTTGCAGGCGCTTGCAGGCACTTCCAGGCGCTTGCAGTGGGGCAGGCCGGTCGCCTGCTCGACAGGTAGCAGGGCTGCCACCCAGCGAGACGGAGCAGTATGGCCAACGCAGCCATAAATCAGGACTACTAGATCCACACGCACACACACACGCACGCACACGAGCGCACGCGGGGCGCATGACACAGTCTGGCCAACTTCCCCGGTGCCCCACCGCAGCGCTGATGACGCGGTAATTGTGGTAATTGTGGCGTTTAACGACGCCGGGTTGGTAGCACTTTACTCCCTTTCCTCGGCCGGGCCGCGCCGAGCCGCGCCGCGGATGGATCGCAAATCACCGCGCTAAAGTGCGCGCCGCGGTTTCTACTACCGATCGCGTCGCCAGTGTGCCTTTCGGCCTTTCGGCCGGAGGATTTCCGGCCTCACAGTGGGCCAGAGGGCCGGTGGAGGCGGCCGAAATTCCAGACGCGTTTTGAGCTCCAGAGTCGCTAGGCAGGACTCGAACCGAGCGTGTGACCCCACCAATGGATTGCTCTCCGAACGAGGAATCCATTGGTGGGGTCACACGTTCGGTTTGAGACCCAAGCGACTCTAGAGCTCAAAACGCGGCTATACTTTTGGCCGCCTCCACCGGTCTTTTGGCCCACTGTGGAAAAAGGAAAACGAAAAGCCACCCGGAGAGGACCGCGCCGCACTTTCCCGTCGCCGATACAATATGTCATTGTGACTGCAGCAGCGCTCCCCGCGTGCGAAGCGTGTACTACCAGTGTGCGCCACAAACAATAATGGCGAAATGATTGGCAGTGACCTGCATTTTGGGCCGCCCAGCGCACACTCGGCGCAGACTCGGCGCGCGCGGGCGGGAGAGGCCGACGTCGTACAACATGTGCGATTCCTCCGTCTCTCTCCCTCCCCCAACCCTTTCTTTTCGCTCTCACCCAAGGTCGGTACACTACACCGCCTTTTGTTCCATTGTAAAACGCGCGGACCATGTCGCGCCGCCGGACAAATGCGAGAGCGTTTTGTGCGACACACTGTAGTACAGGCGAAACGCCATCCGCTGTACAGTCGCGCAAGAGGACGGGCGGCAGGAAATGGACTCCCGTATGACGTCTTGAGAACGGGTGTCCGACCGTCACTTGCCGTAGCAATTAAAAATTGTTTCAAACTGCCTACACAGACGCGCACTGTAAAAAAATTTGACATGGTCCGTCATGGTCTAGATATTAAAAACACCAACGTCAGCACTTTTCTTTTTCAACAGTTTCTGATGGAAAAATAGAGGGACAACCAAGGGCAAGCAGCCTCCCTCTTGCAATAAATACCAGAAAACACACACACACAAACACACACACACACACACACACACACACACACGCTCTCCCTTTCGTCGCCGCCTCCAATCAAAATAATACGCCATTAATAGTGGAAAGCTGTTTCCCGCGATGCGCCGCGTCGCCGCGTCCCCCGCCAGCCTAACCTAACCTCCAATAATGTGGCGCAAACCGCAGCACACGTCGCCCGGAGGAAGTCCCATAACCACGCCATTACAAACTACAGGCCGGCCGCGTTCAGCCGCCGCGGTGTCTCTCTCTCTCTATCTCTCTCTCTCTCTCTCTCTCTCTCTCTCTCTCTCTCTCTCTCTCTCTCTCTCTCTCTCTCTCTCTCTACTTATCATCCTTTTTTCCTTTCTTCAAATTATCTTTTTTTCTTTATTATAAAAATGTTAATTGTATAAAAAAAAGAAAAGTAACAAATTGTAAAAAACAGCATCACTCACCAAAAAAACACCTCAAGTGACAATGGAAACGGCATGCATTTTGTGACAAATTTTTACACCCCCTTTTTTGGCCCGCATTGTACATTTCAAAACCCCCCAATAAAACTTTTATAAACTAAACTCTCTCTCTCTCTCTCTCTCTCTCTCTCTCGCACCCCAACTGGGCGCCCCAGGAGTGCGACAGAGCGATGAAAACTGTCTCGGAATCGCTGCTCGGCGGAGGGAAGTTTCCCTCTCTTCGAGCGCAAGCAAGGGCAAAAACAAAACGGCTGGCAAGGTGTCTGGAAGGTCAAGGTAAGACGAGTTGTGGTGGCCCCGCCGGCCCGCTGGCCCCGCCACGCGGAACGAGACGAGAAAGCGCCCGCGCTTTTTTGGTCCAGCGACGTCCGTCCGCGTGACAGAGTGCCGGGGTTCAAATCCCACCACTCTACCGCATTTCGTGTCCGAAAGTAATCCAAAATTTAACGCATTACCACCATATTCCAAACAATTTTCATTAGTTGCACTTTACTTGCTGCAGATACTTGCTTCGTACAATAATCAACGTGTAATATTATTTTAACCACTTTTTTTTTAATTTTCTCTCAGAAATTCGCGTCTTTTTTTCGGGGGCGGCATTCCAAGCGTAGGAGCACACGGGCCGCCAGACGGCATGAACGGACAAATTCATTACGGTGGCGGAGCAGGGCGGCAGTGCGGCAGTGTGCACGCCAACGGCCGGCCGGCACGCCAGCTGCCCCTACAGTGGCGCGGCACGCCCGAATTCCGGGAAAAGCCCTGGACGATCACAGCCCTGGCCGAAGGGTACGCAGTGCGAGTAGGGAGCAGGCACAGACAGACAGACAGACAGACAGACAGACAGACAGACAGACAGACAGAGTCCCCGCTTACGCGCGGCCCCTCGGGGTGGCAGGCGCAAGGCAGGCGGCAGGGTGCTTCGGGGAGGATTAAGAGCCCGTTAACCCGTTAAGGGCGCCAAGACGGGCCGCGTGCCGCGCCACTGTCTAACGAGTCACCGCGTCCGAAGCGACAGCGGGCCGCGCCGCCATCCTCTGCCGGCCGGCCGTCTCGGAGTCTCGGACGCAGCCCCGCCAGGGGAGGCGCCGCGTTTGTATACGGCCGGAGTCGCTCTGTCTCCGTCGCACTCGTGGGGCTTCTCGCGCGGGAGCGAGAGAGACAGAGATGCTAAATCCGCGCCTTCACGGCCGGCCAGACGGCCGCACCCCCGGCCGGCACCACCCCGGCGAGGTGCTTGGCGTGCTTCGCGTGCACCAGCCGGCCGGCCGGACCTTGACCCTCGCCGTCGAACGGCCGCGCCGTCACGCCGTCGCAGGCACACTGTCCCTCCTCCTTTTTGCACCGGCTGCACTTACACGCGGGTCGTTTTACGGCCGAGCTGGAACCGCGCACCGCACTGCACCGCACTGCACCGGCCCTGTCTGTACATGGAGGCCGGCGACAAAGGGCCCGCTTTGCCCGCCTCCAAGGGCGACGGTCACAGGGCGCCTCAGGGCCCGTCCCTTGACCACGACCAAGGCTTCCAAGGCGCGAGGCAGTTGCCTTAAGGGCCTTAAGGGGGTCTTAAGGGCCTTAAGGGGGTCTTAAGGGCCTTAAGGGGAGTCTTGAAGACCTTAAGGAGGGTCTTAAGGGGCTTAAGGGGGTCTTAAGGGTCTTCAGGGGGACCTTAAGGGCCTTCAGGGGGGCCTTAAGTATCTTAACAGGGCCTTAAGGAGGGTATTAATGGCCTTAAGAGGGCCTTAAGGGCGTCTTAAGGGCCTTAAGAGGGGCCTTAAGAGGGACCTTAAGAGGGACCTTAAGGGCATTAAGGGGGGGTCTTAAGGGCCTTAAGGGGGGCCCAAAGGGAAAAATCAACAAGAGTGCAACTGTGCCACTAGAAAAATTACCAACAAAGACAACTCCTTTTTTCCAGTGGTGTATTCGCGGCGCCGTGGACACCGCCTCGGCGTTCCTCACACCTGATTGCAGATGGGCCGACCCTCCGACCCTCCCCGGCCTTCCCTTCCAGACAGCGAATAATTAGCCCCAGTAACTTCTTCAACCCCCGCACAACCAAACAACACAGCAAGCAAAAAAAAAATATTTCGAAAAGAAAAAAAAACACTTTTCAACACATTTAACTTTTTTTTCGTG